TAGTTTGACTTATGCAATTACATAAAAAACATCTAATGAAATCTCAGTGACACAAAACATGAACGTTTATATTGGCCTCCCCGTGCCGCGGAGTTGATCTTGGCCGGGGCATCCAGACAGACATTCTGCATTCTTCAGAGATTAAGCACTGAAATGCTCCGGAGAAACCCAGCTGCCTTCTCCCCCTGCAACCGCGGCGCTAATTCCAAACACATGGTAGCTGTCCGGGGAAAGGGGAACACATACATTACACACACACAAATATCGCTGTGTCTGCGCCGGGCGCACGCGGCCGCATCCCCATCACCATCCATCCCCATCTGTAACGCAGTGAGAGCGATGCCAACAGCTCAGCAAGTGAAATGTGAAGGAGAAAAGGTGCTTTGGGAACTTGGAGTGATGGGAAAGGGTGGCACAGCGCTGGGGTCTGGGCTTCAGCTGTGCCCATGGCACCTCTCTGTCCCCCCCTGGGTTTTCTGCCCCTGGCCCCATTCAAAATAAACATGGCTGCAAGGCTCTGGGCAATGAAACTCACTCCTGGTTGGGTTCCCACCTCCCCCCTTTAAAAAATTCTTCTGTCTCCCGTTAAAAGTCAAGCTGATCTTTAACCAAAAGGAAAAAGGAAAGAAAGAGGAGTGGAGGGATTTTTTTTTCCAAGCAGCAAAGCCCACAGCTCGCGTGCCGGAGGCGGGGAGGGGCCGGGTAGGACCCGTGTGGGGGGCAGTGCAGAGCTGTCAACCCCACATCCTGGTGCCATGGGGCTGCAGCATCATCCCTGCTCCCACTGCAGCAGTTCCCTGAGTTCATACCCAGGGCTCCTGCAAATGCCCTCTGAGCACCATGCAGCTCTCTGTGCCCACCTCAGCTTGAAAAATGCAGCAAAACACCCATGGAAAAGCATGCTGTCCAGCGAGGCTGTCCTGTGTCCCAAACACATCGGATCTGCTGTTCTGATGGATGACGTGGAGGTGATTAAGGTGCCAGCAAACCCAGCTCAAGGCTGATTTCACTGTGGGCATTGCAGGGTGAAGGAGAGTGAATGCTGCCCAAAGCTGGCTGAGATTTGGGGTTGGCGTAGGGAGGGTGACCAGCACCAGGTGACAGGGCCAGGTGCAGCCACTGTGTTCCCGCACCACATCATCAGCCTCAGTCCTTGGAAAAGCACCAAATTGTTGTTTGCATGGATAGGGTGTGCAAAGTGCAAAGCCCACCGGGATCCCACCAGCACCACAGGGTCCCCTTGGGCACATGTGGGAGCATCACCACCACCCCACATCTCTCGGTTCCCCTGTTCTAACAGCAGAACCTTTTGGACAACCGACAGACCATCAGCAAAACAAGATGTCAGAGCTGCAACCATTGCTGGCCGGGACTCAGCTGGGTGTTGGGAGGGATCCAGGAGCACGGGGGGGCACCGAGCAGCCCACAGGCCCCAGACCTCCCCTTACAGCTGGGTGCTGGGGGCTCCAGACCCACCAAGGCACTGGAGATAGGGGAACGAGGAGAGGGGGAGAGAAAGAGAAGGAAGGAGGAAAATAGCCCCTTATTCTACTTTCATCAAGGAAGCATCCAGCCGTCCAAAAAATTTAATGTTGTATTTTAGCAAGAAAAACAGCTGTTGTGGTACTTGAAGGCCCAGCATATTTTGGCCAGGGCTGCATGTTGTGGATATTGGCTGAGTCAAGGTTAGCTGTTAAAAGGCAGAAATTCTAGACCCATACAAAGAAACATAGCGTTCCTTCGTATCCAGATAATATTTACTCCCAGGGCTGCTTTGTTTTGCTTTGTTCTCCCCCCTGGAGGGGGGCCAGGCACTCAGCCTTGCTGCAGGACTCATAGCAGAGCGTGGAGGGGGGAGGAGAAAAGCATTAGGAGAAGATGGGGAGCCCCATCTTGGCACCTTCATTTTGGGCTCTGCCCACTGATTTTTGGCATTGCCTGGCTTAAAGAGGTCATAGCAGGGATTTGCAATACAGTGAAAACACCCCAGCACTGTGAGTGTTCAGGGGTTCAAATGGTTCCCTATAGTACAGCACAGAGAATGAGGACCAAGAGATGATGATGGCTTTGTGCTCTGTGTCACCAGGCTGTGTGCTGTGTGTCCTCAAAGCTCTGAGCACTCACTGCCCTGAGTTGGGAAAGGTGCTTGGGGAGAAGCATTTCTATTGCATGGAGATGAATCCTTCCCCCTCCCCCCCCAAAAAAAGGCAAAAAAAAACCCCAAAAAAACCAACTAACCAAAAATGGACATTGTGAAATTGAAAAATCCAACATGGCTTTCAACTGCCAAAAGAATTTTGATGGGGAGCCCAGCTCCTCCGAAGCATGGTTGGTTGCCTTCTTGTTTTCAGCCCACTTCCCTTCACCCAAAGAAACATAACTCAAAGGAAAGCATCAATATAATGCTTTCATCAGCCACCGCGGCGGGGTTGGCTCGTCCTCCAGCAGACAGCTCCGTGGCAGGGCTGGCTCTGCCGACAGCCCCATTTCCCAGCACCGTGTGACATCCCAAGCACTGGGGACATGAGGACAGCACAGGATACCAGCGACCTCAACCCCAGCTCGATGCCACACAGGCTGTGGGTGACTCATAAAGCTCAGGAATAAAGCAAAGCCATTGCCCTGAGACAATCCCCCCGGTGCCTGCCAGGCTCTGCAGGAGCCATCCGCGCCGTCTCTCTGTGTTGGCACCGATGTCCCCCCACTGCAGGACCACCGCTGGGCACCCCAGGGTGTCCCTCCTGCCTCCACCCTGGCGCCTGCCCAAAGGCAGAAGCCACCAAACCCAACCCCACAGACTTGGCCGACCTCAGGCTCTTGGATGGGGGAAGGCTGTGGGTGAAAAGGGGAAAAAAAATGGGGAAAAAAAGAAGAAGAAGAAAAAAAAAAGAGTCCAAGGTGGAACCGCAATGTTTATAAAATGGGTCACTGAATTATACATAAAAATATTTTCCTTGTGGATGCAATTACTTCCTGGACTTGTTATTCCACAGATGCTTAAGTTCGCCTCAAGCAACTCCAATAAATGCTTTACAGTCTGCTAGATCAACAGTAGCAACACTGGAGTGAATTGAATAGCACTGTTTCAAATTTGTCAGAAAACCACACAGTGTTTTCATGAGCACGTTTTAGAAACCCAAACAAAACGATTCCCAACCATCGTGCTCCCTCTCCTCACACTTTTAATGAGTTTCACATGAGCTCTGTGCAGCAGGCAGGGTGCTGGGGGCTCCACGAAAAGCACAGCAGCACCTCCCCATCCTTTCCCATACAAGCCCCTCTCCTTCTCGCTCCCACATTCTCCAGTCTCATCCCACAGGACCCGGTATGCATTTGGGATGTGTAGGGCTTAGGATGCTTTCCCAGGGGAAATGAGTTTTGGGAGTCCCCTGTGCATCACCTCCGCCTGCCTTAGAGGTGAAGGTGCTTTAATGCATGCAGCACATCCTGATCCCCAAAATCTCTGCACGACCATCACCAGCAAACCAAAATATTCTGTGTGCTTCCCATGACCTCGAATGATAAAGCACAGGGCAGCGGGGGACGCACCATGATGGCAGGGCAGGTTGCACTTAGGCCAATAATACAGGTGAAATCTGCCTAGGAATGCTGAAGATTCACCCCAGGATCTGCAGGCAGCTGTAACACCGTCGTCCTGTTCATAGATGGCCAGTGGAGCAGAAATGCATCTTCACATCTCCAGATTCCATCTGCAAGATTTTACAAGAGGATGAATGGGTTCATGGAATCATTGAACATCCCAAGCTGGATGGGACCCATAAAGATCATTGGGGTTAGAAGGCTCCTGTGAAACGGGCTCACAGAAAGCTCCCTATCCCCTGCTCTGAGGATGCAGCCATTTTCTGCTCCCCCTGACGTGAGGATCCTAGCTCATCGTTTTAAGACAAGATGTAGAAGGGAGGTTCAGTTTGGATAGCAGGAGAAATTTCTGATGAGAAAGAATGCTGCTGCACTGCACAGCTGTCCAGGGAGTGCTGGGGTCACCGTCCCAGATGTGTTCCAGAACCACAGAGATGTGGCACTAAGGGATGAGTCAGTCAGTGGGCACAGTGGGGTGGGCTGGGAATCTGAGAGGCCTTTTCCAGCCTTAATGATTTGGTGATCTTTCCTTTCTACTTCCCCACGCACCACAGAGCCCGTCTCCAGCCACCACTAAAAACACCCAAAGCCCCAAATCCGGAAGAATCCAGGAAAAAAAAAGAAAGAAAGAAAGAAAAGAAATAAGAAAACCTCATGGCCGTGGTGGCAAGTCCTTTACAAGCCCTCCCAGCCGGCCGCAGGTGGGAAGCATCGTGCCTGGCTTTCCCCAGCCCTGGGATGGGGACACATGCTGCCCACCCCACAGCTTAACCCCAGGGCCCCAGGGGGGTGCACTGGCATTTTTATTTGGGATTAGGTCCCAGCACATCTTAATTTTCAATTCAACAGCTGTTGAAAAGAAACATAAAATAAAACAAGCGCCAGCGCCGGGTCCTGCCCACGGCCCCGAATTAGCCACAGAAAAACGTTAACATTCCTGCACTGGCCCTCAGCCAGGAGACGGAGCACTTCAGGAGACGGCGGCGGGCACAGCGCCGTGCTGCTCACAGCCCCCAGTAGGTGGAGGTGGTTTGGGATGTGGGACAGCTGGGGACAGCCCTGGACACGGCCCCCATTGCTTTTAGTTTACTGCCATAAAGCTCTTTAATTCCCGAGGAGAAGCAGGATGGGAGATAGCATGCGGGATGACAGGTAACGCATCCCATGTGATGCTGCTGTGGGATATCACCCCGGCTGAGTGCTGGCCCCAAGCTGGTGGCGTCCAGAGAGGAGGGATGCAGAAATCCATCTGGAAATGCCATCGCACCCAAGCTGGGGTGAACGTGCACAAGGCCAAGCGCGGCTCCTGCGCTCCTCGGAGCATCCCCAGCACCCCATGCCACCCCCAGCTCCACTGCGGGTCCCAGCAGCACCAGCCCCATCCCACAGCCCACACGGTTCCACGCTGCTGGCACGCGCCCTGGCACCTCCCCATCCCGCCATCCGCTGGAGGTGCAGCGCCGGCGGGGGCTGCAATCTGGTCCTCATTAGGAGCAGCAGACAGCCCAGCGCGGGAGTCTGAGCGCTAATCTCCTTTCCAGTTGGTATCCGTCAGCAGATGTACAACAAGTGGTTGGATACTTTAGAGGGCATTTGTGTGACATAGGCTTTAGCTTTTTTCCATCCGCGGGGATAAATGGCCAGGGCTGAGGCTTTGCCGGGCGCACGCGGAGCTGTGCTGGTTCGTTTTACCCAACGTCTTTCTTGGAAGAAGCGGTGATGAAGTTAACAGCCCATGAGCCATAATTGGCTCACATTAAATCGAGGAAATGATCTGTTTTGTTTTGCCCTTTAAAAAAAAAAAGGAAAAAAAAATCGTATTAAACGGCAAAAAAAAAAAAAAAAAAAAAAAAAAAATGCACACAGCCAAGGAAAGAGCAGGCAGCAGCTCTCAGGAATTTAGGGGGAGATTTGTGTCCTAAAGAATAACGAAACACAGCCTGGGCCATCAGAGAGAGCAGCTTCAATCCAAAATGCTCAGCCCAAGATGCCCACGGGCAAGGGAAGGGTCTCCAAAAACCCCAAATGGTGGCCCCACAATGGGCACCGCTTCAGAATCCATCAGAGCAGCTCAGTAAATTAAACTGGATACCTAAAATCTTTGTGTATAAATACATACACATATACATTATGTATACATACCTTCAAAAAAATTCTTTATGGAAGTTATGCTTCCCTTAATCTCATTGCCTCTCAGCCAACACAGGGTATCAGGAAGCTTGGCGGTTCCCTAGCACAGCTCTGGATATACAGAGTATTGCTGACAGCAAGTTTTCTCTTCTTGTTGTTTTTCATTTTCAGCCCCCAAGGACACGAGCCAAACACAGGCAGATCATCCTCCCAAGGCTGCAGCTGGACAAAGCCACCAGGTGTTGGGAGGGAAGACATCCAGTCCCAAAAACCTGCCATGCAGACACTCCTGCAGTCCTGTTATCTGCTATCTCACTTCCACCTGTTCCAGGAGTTGTGCTGGATTAACCCAGAGAAAAACCCTTCAAGCAGGGAAAAAAACCAAAACATCACCCTAAAGAATCACAGAGACACGAAGGTTGGAAAAGTCCTCTCAGATCCCCAAGCCCACCCCACCAATCCCACTGCTACCTCCCTCAGTGCCACAGCTCTGTGGTCCCTGGCAGCCTGTGCCCCTATCCTGCTCTCAGTCAGCATGCGGATAAAAGGCAGCACCCATGCTGAGGATCACCCACATCTGCCAGCTCAGCCCTGCTTCCACGTCAGCCAGGTTGGAAGTGGGGCACCAAAACCCCCTTAACTAGGAGTGGGATCAGCAAAGCCTTTCCTTGGTGCAGCAACCAGCAAAACCCCCATACCCAACACTGTGAGCTTGGCTGTGCTGGTGATGGGTTAACAGTTGGACGTGGTGATCTTAGAGGTCTTTTCCAACCTTAGCGATGCTACGATTTTCCAACACATTCATAGTGAGCATGTAATATTTTTCAAAACTACTTATCCTGGGTTTTTTTTCCAACACATTAAACAAATGCAGTGTTTAACTCCCGAGCCCACAGCACTCCATCATCCAGCTGTGTCAGAGCAGAACAGATCCTGCCCAGCATCCATTCCTCAGTCTATTAGGCAGAGTTATTCTCTTGCTCTGTGTTTTGATACTTACAAAGCCATTACCATCTCTTGCATGCACATCCATCATCAGGGCTTCAAACTCCAGAATGTCCCAAAAAATTATTTTCCACTCACCAAGCAGCCTGCCAGGCTCTGTTCTTCTACTCTCCGTTGCTTCATCCATCGAAAGACATTTCAGCAAGTTCTGAGTCCAACCAAATAAACAGATGGCAGCCTGAGAAGGTGCTGATATTTTTTCTGAAGGGGGGGGAGGAAGGGGGGGCAATGTGGTGAAGGATGGAGTAGAGAAGAGCAGACTTCTATCTGTCTGCTTGGAAGAGCTCTGCTGGGGCTGCAGACACCAATGTCCATTTGGAGCAAGGTGCACAGGACCCCATGTTGCAAAGCCCTCAAACTTGTGCCTGGAGGGCTCTCCATGGAGCACAGTACTGACCCCAAAAATCCCCACCTCCCGACCTCTTTCCAGGTCCCCCAGCGCAGCTCCTGGAGCCCACAAATGCCATTCACCCACGTTTTGCACAGATCCCATTCGCTACCATAACTCCACATCGCACCAATGCTCCCCCAGATACCCACCCAGCAATCACCAGCCCAGACTTACAGGGAAGATTTATGAAGGGATGCAGCTGGTTGACTGATGGAGACGGATCTCCTCGAGGAGCGACTGATTTCTCCCTTACAAAAGGGATAGAAATTAATTTATGAACTTGGTTAGTCCGGTTGCCAAGTGGCTTTGATGCAGTTTATTTTTTTGCACATGGCCGTGATCGATCGCACAGCTGTCAGAGGGGGGAGGAAGAAACTCATTGAGTCGGAGCAATGCATCGCTGCGGCCGAGCAGCCAGCAGCTCTCAGCAGCACCAGATCACCCTTCACACAACCCTGGCACTGCTGGCACAACACGGCCACATCATCCCTCTCCATGCCACCCTTGAGGGCTTGGAGACCCACCCCCCTCTCTCCATGCCATGGCCAAACACACAGCACGTCAGAGTTGAGAAGCACCTTCTTTTGCTTGCTGTGCTTTGATAGGACATACAGAAATGTGGGGAGAGTCACAGAGAGACACAGTGCTGCATGCATTGCCCACCAAACATGAGCTCAGAACCCCTAACACATCACCAAGGGACCCCCACCTCCAAGGACACTGAGGGACAGGCCCTGCCCAGCAGCTCAGCCCCGGCTCGCAGAGCCCAGGCCAGCAGACAGCAGCTCCCCCGTGCTCACAGCGTTACAGGTGCTTGGAGGGTTTTCAAGACACGAAGTAATTTCCTGCTTGAAGCAGTTGACAAATCTGCACAGCAACTGGATAGCACTTCGCCTTTCAGAGATCCGACTGCTTCAGGGCTCCTCTCCAACGTGCTTTTTTTTGCCCCAGATAGAAAGGAGGAGGATGGGTTGAGCATTCCTCTCTTTCCTCTGTCCAAGTTCAGGCTTAGGACAGACACCACATCCTAAACGAGCTCTGCAGTAACCACAAGCAGCAGCCACCTGGCCGGGAGGTGCCTCGCACCCCCAAGCCTGGGGGGGTCCCAGCCCCATCCCACCGTTGCCAGCCTCATTACACTGCATAGCTCTGAGAGCTCCAAACAGCAGAAAACACAAACAGGGCTGTGTGGGGGGAATTAAATTGGCACATAAAGGCAGCATTTGCAGATTTGCTACAGTCTGCATGGTGCAACCAGCAGCAGCACTTCTTTACCCCCACAGTCCTGTGAAGGACCACAGCCTTGCACAAAGCAGCTGACAGCATCCCACACTCACTGAAAACCATTGTGGCAGCCCTGTGAGGACCAACACAGCCCTGAAAATTTTGGAATGAGCTGTCCTACTGTCTCAGCATCCCCTCCTCCCCCCATGCGACCTTTCTTGCTGCAGGGAATTCACAGTCTAGAGTGGCTGAGTCAGCTGTGAACCCCCAGCATCAATCAGGCACTAAATGCAAAGCTTGGTTGTTGGAGAATGGGAAGCAGACAGCAGGAAGGGAAAATGCTCTGAGCTGAGGCAGCAAGCTCCCGAACCACCCTCAGAGCTCCCATGTGGAATTAAGGTGTAGAAACCACTGCAGAAAGCCAATACTCACCTCTCTCTCCTATGGAGCGAGCATGTATCACACAGCCCTCAAGAACCACAGCTACTCCAGCACTGTGCTGCTGCAGGTCTCAGGGCAGGGGGGCACTACCAGCCTACATCAGTTGCTCCCAATACTCCAGAGCTACCCTCCCTGCTCCATCTCTATCAGCACTCATCATTGCCCTCAGCTGCTCCCTCAAATCCCCTGGTTTCACCTCCATCTGTTTTTGGTCCTTCCTCTGTTTTACATTGTAAAACCTTCCAAGGGCAGCTCAAGAAGCAACCCTCCGCTGTTGCTGGTTCCTCAAGGGGAGTGCCATGACCTCAGCAAAGGGACTTTCGGGTGAACAGTTCCTGCAAGGATCAGCCCATAAATGTTCAATTTTGGTGGCTTTTTCCTGCCCAGGAGGAAGTGCCAGATGCGTGGTGAAGGCGTGCAGAGCACCGTCATCTCCCTCCACCTCTCTACCCCAGCCCAGTTCCCACTCCAGAACTTATCAGGGTATGAGCTCACAAGACACAGATTTCCCTGATTAAGCAACGCTGGGTGGCCTCTCCCCTTTCGCTTTCAGTTGCTTCTTCCTCTCAGGCCCCTGAAACCTCCTCGAGCATCCGGCCCTGAGCACAGCAGTGCCTTCACCACAACAGGCACCAGCTGCATGGCCACCACCATGGAGCCGAGCGTGCGGGAGCCGCTGGTGAGGAGGTCAAGCTCCTCATACCACACCTTCCCTGAGAGCATCAGAAAGGGGCTGGACAAGGAGTACCTGCAGTAAGTGCCAGGCTGTGGCTGTGGGGCCGGATGTGGGGTGGCCTTGAACCTGGATCTGGGGTTTGGGAACTCTGAGTTGGCTGTGGCCCCATGGCTGTGGTGAGAGGGAACTCATCCTGTGCGAGGCTCACGGTGCTGGGATCTGTCTGGGAGAGCCGTGGGTAGGTGGGCTGTGGGGCACAGGGTGCTGCTGTGGGGTGGTGGCAGGGAGCTCTCTGGGATTGCAGTGCTGCCCGCTTCCAGCTTCTGCTTTTCTTTTTGTTGAACTGGCTGAGAACCAGCTGGCTCAACTGAAATGCATCCATGGGGGAAAGTTGCAACAGAGTGAGCTGGATCTTCCATCGAGTGCCATAGAGATGTCCAACACATCCTTCTTGCTCTGCCCACCTCCAGGAGCCTCAACAACAAGTGGCTCTACATGGCAGTGTTTTCTGCCGTGCTGGGGAATTTCAGCTTTGGCTTTGCCCTGGTTTACCCCTCACCGGTGATCCCTGTCCTGGAGGCTCACCCCGACCCCACGCTGAGGCTGGACCGCTACAGAGCATCCTGGTTTGGGGTGAGGTGCAGGACCGTCTCCACTGGGGGGATACAGAGAGAGCCAGGCTCCACCAAAGCCCCTCTGTGTCTCCCTGCAGTCGGTGTTCATGCTGGGGGCGGCGGCGGGGGGGCTCAGCGCCATGCTCCTCAATGACCACCTGGGCCGCAAGCTCAGCATCATGTTCTCAGCTGTGCCCTCTGCCGTGGGATATGCACTGATGGCCGGCGCTCAGGGCATCGAGATGCTGCTACTGGGCCGCGTGCTTACAGGCTACGCCGGTGGTGTGACGGCTGCCTCCATCCCGGTATGTGTCCTAAGAGTCTGTGTGATGGGAGGCGAGGTGGAGCTGAGCTGAATGAGGTGGGGCCTCATTCTGCTTCAGAGGCATCAGCAGAGCTTCAGGGCTGTGTCTGTGCCGTAGGGGATGGATGTGCTAGAGGGGCTGGGGAGATGCCCGAGGGTGGTGATCTTGCAGCACATCTGCCCCCATTCTGCTGGGTGGGCTTTTCTGGACCACAAAAAGTGGAAGGCAGGCAGGTCCTTGTTCCTTGCTCTGTTCCTCCACAGAGTTGTTCCCTCCCTTATTTACCAGACTTTGACCTCATGTCACATACAGAGAGGAAGACAAAGATTGAGCAACCTTTGGCTGTGTCTTTCCAGTCATTGGAGTCTGAGCACTCCTCCCACACTGGGGCAGGGATGGGTGCTGCAGGGGCTTCCCTGTCCCACTGCCAGAAACAGTCCCTCCATGTTCCCCTCTCTAAGGATGCATGTTCCAGCAGTTTGGGATTCCCCAACTGAGCTGTGTGACTGTGAGACACATGCAGGGACGTTCTGTTCGTTCTGGCTGTGTGCTGTAGATCAGCTAAGTGTGTGCTGTCCTGCTCCAGGTCTACATCTCTGAGATCTCCCACCCTGGGGTGCGAGGCATGCTGGGCACGTGTCCTCAGATCATGGCAGTGCTGGGCTCCCTCATCCTCTATGCGCTGGGCAAGTATCTGGCTGTGCAGTGGGAAGGCAGGATTGTTCCCTCACTTGCACAGGGAAGTGGTGGAGTCACCACCCCTGGAGGCATTGAAGAATCATGGAGATGAGGCAACTGGGGACAAGTTTAATGGCTGTGGTGGAGGTTGGGGCTGGACTTGATGATCTGAGAGGTTTTTTGCAACCTCAGTGATTCTATGATTCTCCTTCCAACCAACCTGGCTCCCGCAGGGCTGCTCCTGGACTGGCGCTGGCTGGCCGTGGCAGGGGAAGTGCCTGTGCTCACCATGATCCTCCTGCTCTGCTTCATGCCCAACTCACCCCGCTTCCTGCTCTCCCAGGGGAAGGAGGACGAAGCCCTGCGCTCACTGTGCTGGCTGAGGGGCAGGGACACAGACTATGCCCAGGAGTACGAGCAGATTAAGGACAGTGTGAGGAAGCAGGTGAGGACCGGTCTCACCTCCAGCATGAGATAGGAAAATGGAAAAACCCAGCCTGCTTTGGGCAGCTCCTCAGCTGCTTTTTGCGTGTTGCAGCTGTGCTAATGTGTCAGCTTTCTGGCTTTGTCCCCCCCCCTCCAGAGCCAGCGGATTTCCTGTGCTGAGATCAAGGATCCCTTTATCTACAAGCCCATCCTGATTGCTGTGGGGATGAGGTTCCTGCAGCAGCTCTCTGGTGTCACCTGTATCCTTGTGTACCTGCAGCCAATATTCAAGAAAATGGCCGTCATCCTGGTGAGCCCCTGTGCAGCTCAATGCCCTGCCAGCAGAGATGTCTGCCATGTCCCATGCAGATCCAAGACCCCGACCCTGCAGTCTGTTTTGAAGAACCTGGTTGGCAGGTCTCCCATCTCAGCTTCTCCATCACTTTTGCTGTTGCAGAAACCAGAGTATGATGCAGCTCTCGTGGGCCTGGTACGGCTGTTCTCAGTGGCAATCGCTGCTGTGTCAATGGATAAAGCTGGGAGGAAGATCCTTCTCTTTGTATCGGGTATGTCTCTCTCAGAGTGTGCAAAGGAATCTTTTCTCTTGGGATTTCCAATGGCTTCGTAAACATGCAGGAGTGGAGATTTCCACCATGCAGGACTGTGGAAGAGTGTTTTCCCTTTGGCAGAGGCTCAGCTCCAGAGCATCACATCCAGAACCGTCACACAGATTGCTCTCCCTTTCATCCTTCTGCGCTGTTGCATCTCTCCACAGCTGGAGTCATGTTGGCCTCCAACCTGACCATGGGGCTCTACATCCACTTTGTGCCATCTTCTGAGAACAGCACCACTGCCAACAGGACCCTGGGGAGCGTTGCCAACCCTCCTGCTGAGCCCATCCACTACGTCACCCTCATCCCCCTCCTGGCTGCCATGTTCTTCATAATGGGTAGGTGCACAGAGCAAGAGCCCAGGGCTGGGTATGAGCCTGGGGGCATGTTTATCTTCTTGGACAAGATGATAAGGAACAAAGAGATCTGGGCTTGGGGTTGAAAGGGACACAGACCTCCCTGGCAGGCTAAGATGGCATCTGCAGTCACTTTCAGGATTGGTGGAGTGTATATGGTGGGGAATAATGATGGACTGATGGAGGTGGGATTGTGCTGTGCTCACCTAATGGGCTCTGAAGCCTCACGACTTCGTCCCCTGCAGGCTATGCCATGGGCTGGGGGCCCATCACCTGGCTGCTGATGTCAGAAATCCTCCCTCTGAAAGCCCGTGGGGTGGCATCGGGCCTCTGTGTTGTCGTGAGCTGGGTGACAGCCTTTGCCCTGACCCAGCTCTTCCTTGGGGTTGTGGTGAGTACAGCCCTAGAGGCATCCAGGATCTCTTCTTTGGAGTCTCTTGCACCAGCTCACATCCGCTTTCTGTCCCACTTTCCAGGAGTCCTTTGGCCTCGAGGTGCCGTTCCTATTCTTTGCTGTCATCTGCGCTGGGAATATTTTATTTACAGGCTGTTGCGTTCCAGAAACCAAACGGAGATCCCTGGAACAGATTGAGGCCTTCTTCAGGACCGGTCGGAAATCATTCTTGAGGTCGTTCAGGAGGTAGGAGCTGCTGGCTGCACCAGGCCATGTGCTCAAGGGCCAGAAAGAAAAGGGTTGTGCTGATAGAGATGGAGCCTGGAGACCTCTGCAAATACGGCGTTCCCCCACAAAGGGGAGAGAACAGGCAGCAGTGACTGTATTGCTTTGGATGTTGAAATTGCCAGCTGAAGCTTCTAAGATATTCTCACCCCAAGTCCTTCAGCGCTACCTATGGCTCTCCAGGCAGCGCATCAGCATGAGGTATAGGACCACAGAACCAGCAACAGGCTGGATGTGACGCTGTCCTGGAAAATACCAGGTGTGGCTGTGGACACAGAGCCACCCAAGCAGCCCGAGAGCCCCGGGCTTTGGCTGGAACAGAGTTAACATCTACCGCTGTCCTGGCGGGCACTCAGCGTGTAGTTGCAAGAATAAAACTGTTTCGCCTCCAACTGCAAGACGTTGCTTTGAATTGCAGAGAAGAGCTGCAGGTGGGATGGGAGAGGCAGGCAAGGGCTGTGATGGGGGGGATCGCAGCTTCCTGCTGCCTCCCAGGTGAGTCTCACTGCTTGAAGTCTTCACAAAAAGGCAGAGCCCGATACGTTGTATAAAAAGCTGCCACATTTTATTGCTCTAAAAACACGTTACACTAGAAGCCTAATGAACGAGACCAACCACGGTTCACAAAGAAAACTCAGGACAAAGCACAAAGACTGGGAACAGACAGACATTCAGCTGTAGTGCAAGTGATTCCCTGCAGGAAAGACACGGTCAGTACAGATAATGCTTTGTAGTGGGGCAGGTCCTTCCCTCCCCAGGGTTTTACAAAGAAGGAAGGTGGATGTGCCTCCACCACAGCTGTGTGTAGAGCCTCCACCTCCACCACTTTGAGATTTCAGCTGCATAGATAGTAGCAAATTGCTCTTACCCCTTTCCTGATGTCCTGCGTGGCTAAGGTCTTGTTTAAAGTAAAGCACAGTGCAAGAGGTGGTTATGGCTGTGAGGAACAACTGGCCTTGCTGAGAATTGCCTGACCTGGCTCTCCCCATAGGGGCAGAACGACATAACAACATGCCCTGAGCCTGGGGATCACCTGCCCAAGCACTTGTCAGCCTGCTGAAATGCACAAGGCGAGCTGAGAGTCGTGGATAAGCTTGTATCTTCCCTTCCTGCCAAGGAATCAGGAGGCAGTGCAGAGCATGTGACTGAGATCTCAGGAACTACTAACTGCTTTTAGATCCCCTGCAGCAGGAGGTGCATCTCACCCAAGGGAAGATGTGCTTTATCAGAGGGTTAATTTAAAGCAGCCAAGGACAGAGGAAGAGAGATGGGCCAAAATCAAAACACAACATTTTCAGTATTAAACTCAACCTTTACAGCTGAGACCCATTTCCAGAAAGATGTCCAGTCCTGGCTGGAGCATTACTGTTTCTGTGCATGGCCTGAGATCTCAAGAGCCTCTGGTTTCCACTGACCTTCAGCAGATCAGGCTCTCTGGCAGCCCTGTCCTACAGCATTCTCCTCCTCACATGGCTATGGACCAGGTCTCGATATCCTCACTTCAGTGAAACCTTTCCCTGCAGACAGTGGATGTTTTTTCTCCTGAGGAAAAAGAAAAAATGACAAAGATGAATTGAGCTTCCCAGGGCCAAAGGAGGAAATGCCCAAATATGAATCGACGTTGGGCTCTCCAGGTCCTGAGAGAACCTCATTGGAGAAGTGTTTGCTGAGTGACCTTCTTTCTTCCATACAGAAAGTCTGAGGGGTTTTGCTGCATTTGGATTGAGAAATCACAGTGGCTCTTTCCAGAGGTAGAATGGTCTTTTTATTCACTGCACACACAGAGGATCAATTTGCTGTTACAAAATCAGCTGCTGCTTAGAGCAGCAAGGTGTGGGCATACAGCAGAACGAGAGGTTCTGCTCTTTGCATGCCCAGTGGAGAGCCCTTGGGAACCTGGAGCATAATGCACAACTGCAGCACTTTTTGTGACTAAATGGAGCAGTTGCACACTGTACAAATGTGCTTGGTAAGAGAAGTGCACAGCTCAGACAGGAATGGTGTAACAGTCCATTTCCAAGTGTGTATTTATTGCCAGTACTCAGCTGTCTTTCCATACTCACTGCAGTCAATGTATCACCTGCTCCTGAGGTCTCACGTAACAAAATTTCTGTCCCATCCTCCCCTCTAAGTCCTCTCCGAGACCTGGCAAGCAGTACCTCACCCATGGATGCCCCTTACCTGCACTGAGCTGAGCCTATCAAATCACTGCAGTGGTGCTTTTCACTTCCTTCATTCTTGCACAGCTCCAAGCACCCTAATGGTGCCTCTAAACACAACTAATAACCACCATGCACTGTGAATGGGCACGCTAACTACTGTGATACTACTACTCTAAAAGTCTTCCTATTGCCACTAAAACAACCTCTCACCCAACTCTGAGGAGAAGCCATCCATTAACACTCCACCACTCCTGAAAGCCATGGGTGCAGCATGCAGACTCCACCAGGCTGTGGCCACAGCAAGAGCAGCACCTGGTTTGTGTTCTGCTGCACCACAGCCAGCAACAGCTCCCAGGAGCACCCACTGCAGATGTGCTCACCCTGATACTGCTGCCTCTGTCTGCAATGTTCCTCTACCAAATGCTACTAAACTACTGAAAACCCCCTGAAATCAAATGTGGGTGCTCTGCCCATTGAGCAGGGTGCTGCTCTGCAACCACTCCACGATGCTGCACATGGATGCAAGGAGCAGAGAGGCCTTGGCTACTAACAGGGATCCCTGCACTCCCCTCACAGCAAAGGCAGCACGGCAGTTTGCAGTCCCTGCACACACACACAGACAGAAAGCCAACACCCCACATACTGCACACAGCCAAAGGACCAGCCCAGAGCTGGGGGGCTCTGAAACAGCAAAACTTTTATTAAACCACGTTGCATCTGGGCTGGCAGTTCTGAACCCCAGACAAGCTGGTGTCAGAGCAAATACAGCACAGAGGCCCCGGGGGAAAGGGCTTAGCACAAAGCAGCTGCCCAGCAAGGCCCTGCATGTGCAAATCAACTCACACCAGATTCCTGCCTGGTGCAAATCTTCACACCTCCTTGAACTCCAGCAAAGAACCAACAAGGAGCAGTCGCTGACAGCTTAACCCCCCAGCCTCCAGGGACAGCACTGCTCCTGCTGCAATGCCCACATGCACCAGTGCCCTCCAGCAGCAGCTCTCCCAAATTGCAGTGTGACCTCCCACCCCAGCACCCCAGTAACACAAAAGGGATCCTGAGGTGCCAGCAGGCAGCAGGCGTAGGGCCAGAGCTGCTGCCTATTTCCACTGAGCACCAGGCTCAGCAAGGAGAGCCATCTCCTGTCACTGCAATCAGACAAAGGGATCAAAGGAAGGACAGCACGCTTTCCAGAGACCCCTGAAATGAGATGATGCACTCTGACGAGTCTCATCAAAATACTTAAATAAGCAGAAATAAATTATTCTCCCTTTTCCTAAGTAAAACAGATGGCAATCAAGTAAAAAACAAATAAATTAACCCTTCCCCTCCCATCCCCCAAAAGAAACTGTGATGAGAGGTGGGGGATCTGGACCCGATGAGCAGTTCTGTTCGGTCTCAAACAAAGCAAACAGAGTCAGCACTGCTGATGGTGCTTGGAATAAAGCAGCACCCCACAAAAATGGGATTTTCCTGTTTGCAAAGCAAGGATTTGCCTCCTTCCCATACAAAAACCAGCCCGGGTTGATGCAAAAAAGCATGAGCTCAATGAGAAAGGCTGTACAGACAGAAGCCAAGGGCTGGTCCCACGCTCAGAACAGACTGCAGGAGCAGACACAGGAAGTGAGAGAACAGAGCAGTGTCTGTCTGGGCTCAGAGGGGACTCACTTGCACATTAGCAACCATCCCACCTGCAAACAGCCTCCATTTGCCTCAAGCAACACAATGCCTTTTCAGCCTTGCTTCTCTTCTTGCCCAGTAAAAGAGTGAAGCTGAAGAAAAGTACCCTTATTAAGATTACATAATTAATGCTTATAATTCAAGTAAATTGCATTATCTGCCTGAAGCTGTATCCAGAGAAAGGGCAGACTGTTCTTCTCTCCTCTGGAGGCATCACTGTCTTCATGCTTGGCTTTTTTTTTTTGCTGGAAGTCCTTTACTGTGCAAAGATGCCTCCAATGTCTGGCCTAACTGGACCCATATTAAAACCTGCATGATGAAAAACACCAAGTGCAAGCATCAGCAGGTACTGCTAAACACTGCATTCTTGTTTTATGCCCGGAAAGAGCCACACCAGAGTGTGCTGCATTAAATGTGTAATGTGCAGCAGCACCCTGGGCATCAGACCTCTGGAGCCAAGGAGCTCCAAGAGCAGTCCCCAGAGAGTGTGCTGCCCACACACAATCCCCAGCAAAATGTGATGGGCATTAAAACAGAGAAAGGCTACGTATTTAGGCTTGTACAGCAGCACTCAAAGGGCCAGCACCTCTGCACAAAAAAGAAAAAAGAAGAAAGAAAGAAAGAAAGAAAGAAAAAGAAGGACCATGAGATATTTGGTTCTGAGTGGCAGGAGGAGGGAGCAGCCAAAGCACTGAGGTCCAAGTGCTGGTGTGTGAGGGGGGCACAGCCCACCCCAGCCCTGAGAGCTCCAGTTGTTGCCGTAGTGTCCAGGGAAATCATGGAGTGACAGAGAGGGGGCGGGCAGATGGGAGGGCAGAGTGGGTTCCCAAATCTTCACCACCATCTCAGGGTCCAAAAGGTCGCCCAGGGCGCATGCACTTCACAGAGCCTGTCCCTCCAGGCACCCTGTGAGCTTCTCTTCATCCATTTGCTTCTGCTGCTGGTGGATCCGAGCGTAGGAAATGGCATCTCCCCTGCAGAGAGAAGGGACATCAGGGTGATATGAGCACCAGGCACCTGTCAGATCAGTGCAGCACACAGTACAAATGTCTCCCAGCTTCTGCCAAGGCCTCTCCATACCAAGTGACAACAGGAATGAAATGAGACTTGCTGGCCCTCCCCAGCCTCACCCCAGTTGGGACATGAAGGTTTTCCTGAGGCAACCTACACTGAGCTCCCAGGGAAAAAGCTCAGAGGTTCAGCAGACCCCCAGACCTTCTTTCACGGGGTTTTGTTTGAAGAGAAAACATGCCAGCAGGGACATACACACCCAAAAGCATGGTTGATACAAGAGGAAAGCACAGCTTTCCTTAGAGCTGGGGCAGCAAATGGGGCAGGACTGGAGGTCCCCTCCTCAAGCAAGCAAATCTTTCTTACTTCTTGCCAAGAGCTGACAGGCCATAAAGAACCCCGGTCGCAAACGCAATGGCATTTCCAAAGAGCGTGGTGAGCGTCAGGCTGAGAATGACAGGGAACACGGCCATCCTGGAAGAGAGACGCAGCCCTGGGGTGGCATGGGGACACAGCACCCCACACACCCAGCACACCAGCCCTGGCAGCATCCTCACCCGCAGTAGAAAGCAGCTTTCTGCCAGGCCCGCAGCTTGTCTGCCCTCGCAGACACGGCGTTGGCGAACTCAATGAACTGGCAGCAGAATGGAGCCTCACACAGGAACAGGATGAAGGCGTTCAACCTCCAGGGAGAGCACATGAGAGTTAGTGCTGCCCGGAATGGGGTCAGCCAGCCAGCCCCCAGTCCCACTGATGCTCCAGTGTGGGCAGAAGTGTGTGGCAGGGCTGGAACCTGCTTCATTTTCTCCCATTCTTGATAATTCCCAAACCTTGATCCTAGATTCCAGCCATAAAAGGGGTGGGGAAGGGGGTAGGGAATAGACAGGGCTATGAATAAAAAAACCACCCTGTCTCCACCCAGCTAGTCAAACAAGACCCAGTGATTCACAGATAGCAGCAATTCACCCCAGCTCCCTGTGCCTCAGTTCATAGAGCCCAATGGACAGAACCTCCCTCCCAGTGGTAAAAAAGAACAGAAACTCCACTTACATCATCCACACACCGGCTGCAATGTTCAGTGGGTTGATGGTAACACAGTTCCAGAGACCAGCAACAGCACAGGCTGGGAAAGAACAGAGACTTTCATTGACACAAAGAGCAACCCAGTGTGCAGTGAGACCGGGCTGTCACCTCTGCAAGATAGGGTTTTCTGTGCAAAGGAATTCCTGCTTTGTCCCAGGATGAAGAAAGAGGACCCTGCAGGCACACATGTCTGAGCAGCACGGGGAAAAACTCAGGAAAAAATTTAAAAAAAAAGACTTGCAGCACCGAGGTGTTAGGACTGAAAACAGAAAAGGAGAGGTGAACCCCATCACAGCCACCATCTCCTAGTTCTGTGCCTCACTACTAGAGATGGGCCAAAAAATGCCAAGTCTGGGTCTCCACGTACTCAAATGGAAGTGGATGCTGACTAAAGCAAGGCTCAAAATAGCTCTGTGCTCCTGAATTTGTAATGCAAGGAGGGGAACCAGCCAGCAGCATCCACACACCTGCCTCCTGCCTCATTAAACTTGCAAAGCGTTCCCTGCACTTGATATGGCTGCTCACCCAGGAACCTGATTCCCCAGTAAACAACAGCACAGCACAAAACACCAGCTAAAATCTTACAGCCTTTAAGCTTTCCTGGGATGTGGAGCTAAATAATGAAGAGACCAAGCAGCATGTCTCTGAGAAGGAGAGCAGCCTGGATGCAGGAAGTTTATGTTCACATGTGTTTTGCTAAGGGAACCCCTGTGCGAGGCTGTTCTGAGCGGTTCTGACCTTCACATGCCTGGCACATGTTTGCAAGATTTCTCCTAAGCAGTCATTGCTGAATCCTCAAGGTTCCCTTATATACCATACTGAGAAACAGAGCTGCATGCCTCGGACCAGTGTGAGGTCATCCCACAAGCAAGCAGACTCTTATTTCTGCAAAACAACAACACAACTCTTATTTTTTAAAGGATTCTTAGGTCTATCCCATATAACTCAGGGAGTCCTGCAAGAGCAAGGTTCTAACAGAGCACAAATGCCAGAGAGCACGCTGCCAGCCATGCTCCAACAGCATCTTTCATCCTCCCATCACAAAGGGACAGTGTCAGTGTCCCCACACTGCAAGGGGAAACTGTGGCACGAGGTTGGGATGATCTGCTCACAGTCACACATGCAAACAGCTCGAGAGTTGGAAAAGCAAGCAAGCAGTACTGCAGGGAGCAGCAACAACACGTGGAGTTTTATAACTCTTCTCTCTGATCAACAAACCCTTGGATGCTCATGGAAGGAGAGCTCGGGAGTTTTGTCCTTAGTCCTTTCTTTTTTGTCTAGCCAGTCAGCCCTGTTTTGTCCCCAAACATCCCAAAACAACCCCCTGAGCAATAAGGTCCTTGCAGGAACCCCAGCTAAGAGCTCAAATCTATTTGCCAATGGACCCAGCAAGCCTAAGCCGAGCAAGCCCCTATGTCAGCACAAACATCAACCAGAGAGGAAGGAGTCAGAGCTTTGCAAGCACAGGAACACTGCACTCGATGGTGGTTGCCAACAGCCAGAGATAATGATTTGGTGACCTTGGCTCTCCTTTGCAGCACAACACATCCTGCAGCAGGCTGGCACTTCCTGGTCCTGCCGGGCGGAATCAGCTCCTGCCTCCGTAGCCAAAAGGGGACAGAGCTGCCAGCTCAGTGACTTCTTCTCATAAAACAAAGGCTCAGAAGAGACATAAAATTTAGATAATGCTCGATGGCACGTAAGCTATGGAAGAGAGTCCTGCCATTTGTTTAACAGCCGTCCCATCCCAAAAGCCCTGGGGGAGAACAAATAACTGGGAGCTAAAACGAGGAAGAAAAAAAAAAAGAAAAAAGAATACCCCCCACAAAGACTCTATTCATTGCAAGCAGCTGGTCACTGTCTTCAGTGCAACTCTATTTTTGCTCCTGGAGCATTTTACAAAAGCCACAGACTCTCATCCTTTTACAAACGGGAACAGAAAGGGGAGAAGGGACTCGGCCAAGGTCACCAAGCAGTCTGTGCAGGAGCCAGCAGCAGATCCAATGTTTGCCTTGTTCCTGCTCCAGTCCCTGCACCTTCCTGACTTGATCCTGTGGGCCACAGGTGTTTGCAAGCACCAGGCGTTGCCTCCCACTGCTAACAAAGTTTCTCATCCTTCCTGCAGGGAATTTTTCATTCTGTAAGAAACATCCCAGCTCTGCTGCAGCCACAATCCAGCTGCCCAAACTCCTCGTAAATGAGTTCTGTTCCTTCGGAGAAACAAGAGGCAAAGTGCAACCTCACAAGCTGTTATCTGCTCCTTGATCCAGCTGCCCAGCTCCAGCAAGGTGACCCGAACAAGGAGTGTGTTGCAGTCTGCACTGCAGGATTGCTTTCTTCCATGGCATCCATTTCCCTGCTCCTAACAGCAGCCATATCCACAGCTGCCATGGTCTGGACAGCCCTGGTGGAGGTTCCTGATGCCCTGAACTACTGGCAGCCCTGTGGACGGCTGCTTCACCCAGAAACACCCACAGATGTAAAACTCCTAGAAAACAAGCCAGGAGTTCGGCATAGTTGTGAACAAAAGGTTGTGAAAAGAATCCAAGCATAACTCAGCTGCTTCGAAAGCTGAAGACAGAGGGGGGAAAAAATGATTTCAAAGCGCTGTGCTGCTGCTAAGCCAGGGTTGAGCTGCTCTGGCACACGGGGTGGGCCAACAGCCACCATCTTGGGCTCCTCACCCCCCATCCTCAACCCCCCACAAGGGAAAAGGCCACATGAAGGGTGATAAGATTCTGGTTGCAACCCCAGCCCATGGCAAAGCTGCTGCTCTGGGAGCTGCCCTCCGACATGTCCTATCCAGCCTCCTGCCTCCATTACTGATGTGGGGCTGGAGGGGCCTCCACCACAGCCACGGGGCCCACGGCCAGTGTGTTTCACCTCCTAAGAGTGGCCCTGCAAAATCTTTTCATGCCTCTTTCAGCACCTCGGATATAACACAGATCACAGAGGACCACAGGAGGCTGCGTGGAGATGCCTCAGGGTACAGGGCTGGGTAACAAATCCCAGGGCCTGGCTCCATCAGGTGGGAAGGCACAGAGGAGGTCAGGACCAGCCGAAACACTGCAGCAGAGGGAACAGATCTGGGCTGACAGTACTGGCTGAGAAACACTCTTGTTTTAACACTCGAGTCATGGACCCAAAGCAGAAGAAGTTCTCCATCCTGCGCTCTGCAGGAGATCAGACTAAGCAGTCATAACAGTCCCTCCTACTTTTAAGAGCTATTAATCTCCTCACAGAGCACAGCTGATTCCTGGCAAAGGTGCAAAAACTCTTTCTCTGGGAAAATTTTCATCAGCACCAGGTAATTCCCAGCCAGCCAATTTGCTTCGCTGTGCACTGTCTCCTGTCTTCTGCATGTCTGAGACTAAACCCCTTAAAAAAACAAACAGTGCAAACCAAGTTTGTTATTTGCCTTCAGAAAACACAGCCAGGGCCCCTGTGATAAACAGCAGGAGTAACGGGAAACATGCTCTGACACTCAGAACAGGGAAGGAAAATAAGTGGAAGGAACACGCAAACACCTGACAGCCCAATAGGATGAATCAAACGCTGTGGCCCCAGTTCAAGCCCTGCACCTGACCCTGCTGAGCCTGGTGCTCGCCGTAAAATCTTTGTCTGCTTTCTCTGCCCACAGCCCTCCCACAGGACCGGGGCTTGGCTGCTGCTCCCATCGCTCCCGGTGATGGGAGATGATTTTTATCCAAGAATAAACTCGAGGATTTGCAGATCCCCCCAGTGACGTCCCTTCTCCCAGGTGCCGAAGTTCAGCAAGTTCAGCAAGCACAAAGCACATCACTCATGCACAAACTAAAATCACCCCTGCTTCAGACATGCCCACAGCTCTTCCTTCTGCCCAAAACACAGCAAAATACACGTGTAGAGAAGTTACAAACCTGCAATCCCACATTATCATTCCTTGGCCCGCCTCCCCATGCACAAACCTAACCCAACGACCAGCAGCACGACCCCCGACTTACGCTTTTGCATGCATGAGCAGAGCCAATGGGAAACTGCTGGCTGTAAGAGGGGATACTTACACACACCCCCGATGACCCCGGCAATCCTGCAGAGCCACCTGTACCACCAGGTCATGCCATCATCAGCGGAGGAAGATGCTGGCTCAGGGGCTGCTGCTTGGAACTGCTCATCCTGAGAGCTCATGGCCTCACTGCTGCTGGGGGGTCAAAGGGCAGCTCCCCGCTCCCCACCTGAGCCCCAGCAGCACAGGATGCCCTTCTAGGTGACACCCCCCCGGCCAGCAGGACCAAGAGATGGCCCCTAACCCAGCCCTGCTGCTGCTGGACCTCTCCTCGAACCCCCATACAGGGCCGGGCCCCCCAGGGCTGACAATAGAGGGTTTCTGACCGCAGCAGCGATGCCAGCGGCCGTGGGAGCAGCCTCCACGTCTCCCTGCCTATTGCATTGTGGGTCCCCTCCTCCAGCAGGGAGGGCTTTGATGTCACACTCATTAAAAAGCCAGTGGGCAGAGCCCGCGTGTGCATATTCATTGGAAGCAGCAGCCTGGGCTGCATGCACACTGTGCTGGGAGCTGGATTGCTTGGGGCGGCCGCTCTGTGCAGGGCAAGGGCAGAGGAGTGCATGGGAATGCAGCGGCAGTGAGCCCCAGCATCTCCTGCCAGCCATCAGGGGAAGCTCTGGACACACAAACCACTGCACGGAAGTTTGGTCTGGGCTGATAATGCAGCTCCTTCCCCCGCATCACAGAAGGAGGTGGTGAAGGTGCCTCATTTCTGAAAGTTGCCCCTGTCTGTTGCACCGTGCCTCAGCTGTGTGGCCAACGTGAGCACACAGCAGTCTGTGCTCTGCTCTTACCTCCAGACTCACTCCCTTTCACCCCTCTGAGGATCGAGCTTTTGCTTTGGGAGAAAGTGAAGTGATTTGGCCTGATGTCACACAGTAAAGCCAGTAGCAGAAGCCAGCTCCAGATCCTGCCTCCCCTTTCTAACCACTAGATGTTATCCATCTACAAGCAAAGAGAAATATGATTTTTTGAACAAACACGAATTTAATGTGAATACTGTTACAGAAATTGTGCCCTCAAGGCAAGACAGAACCACTCCCCTTAAGCTGAATGGAGTTGGGTTTTTGCCCTAGAAACTGGGAGCTGAAGTAGGACTTTGCATATCCGAGATGTCCCAGTTGGCAACGTGCTGGTATCCAAACAGCTGGTACAGTGAGGCAGCATTAATTCTCTTAAATTATCAAGGCAACAGCTGCACATTTTGCAAATTAACATGGAGCACACAGCCAGTGATCAGAGCCCATCTCTGCAGAGCAGAAACTCTGCATAGTTGATCTGGAACAATGAACAGTAATGAGGCTTGGGATCCAGAGCAGAGGGGGAAGACAGATCCCATCTGCTAAAAGGTTACAAAAAAAGAATTAACAAAAGGATTTTTTTTTTTCTGTTACTGTTACGTCTCTGGTTAGGCAGGAAATAAAGGCCCACTGCCTGTATCACCCACACACTGCAGTGCAACAGCTGATATATTCAGCTCCTCAAGGATCTTGCTTAAAGAATCTACTTTCAAGCTCTTCCAGGAATGGAACTTAAATCTGAAGGCTGGCAAGCAAAAAAACCAAACAAATTCAGGCAGAACTAGCAAAAGTAATCACTAAGAAGACAGAAGAAAATAAGGTTTTATGGTTGTAAAAAGACATCAGAGAATTCAATGAAAAGAAAGCATAGGTAGCATTAAAATTGCCCAGGTAGAACAATTTATTGCATCTGTCATGAAGTGTAGAGGCAGGTATGTCCAGCCAGGCTCCAGGTTTGGAAAAGACCTCTTTTGTAGGATATTGGGACGTTGATGGGGATGATAGATTGGTACCAAAGTAGAGAACTGTTGAAAGCTTAAAAACATTAAATAAAAAGAACTTTAAATATGTATTTAAAGTCAATCTTGAGTGAATATTTGTTGCTGCTCTAAAGCACATCTTCCTGTTACGACTCATATCACACAGTTTCAACAGCCTCTCTTGACACAGTTCCTGTGGGATGCAGATACAAGTAGATCATTAGCACAGCTACTGTTATTATCTGAAGAAATATCTCCAGGCATCAAACCCATCACTAAGAGAGAGGATTATTTCAATTTCCCACAGAGAAGAAGTACTAGCAGCACTGTTAGATCTGTAAAAGCAGAATCATAGATGCGGTGGCTGGGGAGGGACCTCTGGATGTCATTTACTCCTCCCATGCAAAGCCAATTATCACCAGTACTTGACCAGGCCAACTATTCTAGTTAACCAGGCCCACTGGTTAGCAAAGTCCTGAAAATACTCCATGATGGAGATTCCATCAGCTTTTTGGGTGACTTTCCCTAGTGCTGCACTACCCTGCTGGGCAAAGAGTCTTGCCCTCATACACTTCTCGAGCTGCTAGGACTCAGGAGGATTCATCTTCTTACACATCTTTGCCTTCTTTTACATCTTCCAGAATTTCAATAGGCTTCATTTTCAATGGGCATTTACACTGCAGGAGAGTAAACTTCACTGTTAAATCATCATCATAACTACCTGTGGTATAGAGAGGTTTCTAAGCCACTGAGAAACGAAATGATTGTCCTAAAAAGTCACAGCATATAAACAGAAGCAGGACCTTGAGACTTCAGTGTCCAAGTCACGAATTTCAGACAAGTGAGATGCATTAATGCCAATTAACGTAGAAAATCTGCATTAGAACTATTTGTGAACTATTTGGTGGTTACATGCTTTTGCATAAACTTTCTAAGTATTAACGGAGATCCCAACGGAGCCAGCAAACTGTTCTTACTCAGTAGATGGGGAAACAGCTGTAAAAGGTTAAATGACGTGTGTGACATCAAGCAGTGAACAGGCAGCAGTGATTAACTGGAGCAGTCTTTCTCAGTGGAGTAGCCCTGATCCCTTTTATTTGGGTTCAGCAGCATGATATTCAGCCCAGAAACTGGTTTGGTGATCCTTAACGTTTTCATGAAATTCAATTTCAGCTTGGCTTCCTGTTGATTGCCAGAAGAATTGCTGTTTCCCACGGAACACCGTTGTCTTCATGGTGCTTACATCACGGATCTGCACGAGGAAAGACCAAACCATTATATCACAGCAGCCTACATCTCGAGTACCCACAAAACTGGGGTCTTGCCAATTGGTTACTCAGGGCAAAAGCTGCCCTATTCAAATGTTAGAGCAAAATATGGTAGAATTCAATATTGCTCACTCACACCTACATTTACACAACAGTCTGACCCTCTTGGGCTTTAAACTCGGCACCTGGATGGAAATCTCTAGTGAGCAGTTGGGTCCTCAACCATCTAAACCACCTCTTCTAGGTTTCCAACTCACCAGGATGTAATTAAAGTTTGTTTGGTTGCTCTGATGGCTCAGGTCAACATAGAGGCCTCGGATAGCTATGTGATGTTGAGGAGCCACATTGATGAAGGTCCGACACACCACCTCTTGTTTTTGACCAGGCGATTGAGTAGGACTCACTATTTCACCACGGGGACCAAACAGCTGCTTGTCACATTCTGATAGG